AAAAAAAAACCTTGATCAAAGAAAGACATATCAGTTTTAGCCTACAGGAAAATATAAAAAGAGACTCTTTTGTGAAATAAAAAAGTAACAATATACCTCCATTTCAATATATCTCCTTTGCAAGCAAAGCAATGAGACAGCCCTAATGACGCACTCGTATTCGATATAAGCAACAAAAGAAAAACGTCTATAATTCTCTATCGCGCACTTGAACTTTTCAAGTATGTCGCTGAACTCTAGAGAGGTTCCACTTTTATTTCTAAAAAAATCACGCGATTGTAAAAACAAATGCATGATTATAATGTTACTTCGTCAGGAAACTTTTATAGTAGGCTAAAAAAATTAATTTAAGATTGCAAATACTTTTCAAAACTCCATGGCAGTTTGAACGAGCGCTTCTGTTGGTCCTCAGACAATAACTGCGCAGCCTGAACCGGGCTAGCTAAAGACGACCGGTCAAAGTCAGACTTGTATCGCTGATGGCGAATAGTAACCCTAAAAGAAATTTTCGCTGAAAATAGCAAAAAAAACATTTGAAAAACTGCTCGATGATTGTCTAAACCCAGCCATCTACTGCTCAGCAAGCCCAGTAATCTTACGAACGGAGGAGTTTCCAACTAACACTTGAATACAATAGATAATCACATTCGGTAAATTATTTTCCCATAAAAATACCCTAAAGTGCGTTGATTTTTTAACTGTGCAAGACGCATTTGTTCTGGACTCATTGTTGACACCCGCTGTATCCCAGATGGAAGAAGATATTCACCAAAAGAATCGTACTTTACTGCCACCGCGGCACACGCCCAGCCCTCATAAGCAGCTGAAAGAACCAAATATTATACACTTTATCTTTCGCTGAGGTAATAATGGACTAAACAGACTAATATAAATCAAAGCAGATAAAATTGTTCAAATGAAATACCAGCAAGCCACAGATAGTCGTTAGCCTGTTTCAGAGTGTCAATTGAACTGTGGTAAATATCGAGTGCGGACATAGGCAATCCAGTTAATAAGGCGTAATCTGCTACCTGTTTCCGCAAACGGCCCAAACACTTTTTTCTAAATAAGGTAAGTAAACGGTCATGAAAAGAAAATAAAAGCGGGTATTTCAGCAGCTCTTTCCAACCAGAACGTTCCAATTTGACATAAAAAAAACTTTAGCAACAAGCCTGGACTAGAGCAGTAAGAAGTAACGAAGCGAGGTAGAATAAATTGAAAAAAAAACGAATTTACTAAATTACCTGTAACCTTTGGTTGCAGTGTCTTCATGAGTTTTAGGCTCGTCCGGCACTGTAGGACAAGGAGGTGCTTCTAATTTTTCGAATGAAAGATCGAGCCTTTTGCTTTCAAGAACAAAAATAATTGAACGAAAAAACTCCCTAACAGCATTCTCGAGTTTTTCTAATTCATCCAAACTTCGGAAACACAATGTTTCTCGCACATGCCACATATCATCAAGTTCTCGCTAAACTGAGAACTACAGAAATGCATAAATAAACTCATTAACTTGCAAAAATGCTCAAAAATTAAACATAGGTGATAAGAACAGGTGATAAAAACTTGGAAAAACTCACTTTGTCAATCCCAAAAACGATACACCTACTGTCCACTAAAGTCGCAGAATATTCATGCTAAAAATGTTAATTATTAAGAGGAAATTTTTAACGATTATGTCTGCGCTATATCAAGCATTACTTTGATAGCCTCATACTGCTCTCGAATTTGAGGTAACATTGCAGAAGCTGGGGAGAACTCTTTAGAACTGCAAGGCTGTAAATGAGCATTGTCGTCCACCAGATCTTTAACTGTTTCATTTGGAGAAGCTAGCTCTGATGTAGAAGCTTGGTCTTCAGCGACCTGAACCTGAACCACTCCAATAAAGCCGAAAACGCGTCGATGAGCCTAAAAATTCAATAGTTTACGTCAGAACAATTGTAATAGAATTTATTGTTAAATTCTTTCAGAAACCCCCGCTCCAGACAGTTCTCTTGAGTAAAAAAAAAAGATGTTTAAACCTGTTTACGTGAGGCTTCACTGAATTCGTAAAGCTTGTTCACTTTCTTTTCAGCAACTGTTCAAATTTTACGTTACACAACTGTTGACTTCTGGTATCAACATAGCGAAGAATGTATATCAAATATTTTTAAAATTACATAGGTGGGAGAAGAAAGGAAAACACTCGCGTACATTAAAAACAATGCTTAGGCAAATGTTCCATACCTGTAGCTCACTGAAATCAAGAAGACTAGTATTCACAAAAGAAGTTATATTGGCAAGTGCAATGCGCTTCGGAGAATCACCAACTAAAAAGAAATACTATGGCAACAACATTCTTAACAGCATGTACGGTTTCCAGAGTAAACACGCTGGGGTCTACTTCCATTCACCTTTCCAGGCAAGATTTTAGTTTACAGACTAATATTTTCGCAAAAAAACCAAACAGCTACTTAAAATATACAAAGAAATTCAATGAAATCCAAAAACAGTGTTTTGACAGGGTGAAAACTAACTCCGTATCCTACCTTGTAAAGTACAAACACGTTGCAATCGCTCAAGTAGTCGATTGAAACTGGCAGTGCAACGCAGACCAAGCTGCTTCACAACTATTGTGATACGGCAGTTATCATCAGTTAGTGGTATTGGAATAAATTCCATTCCATAAGAGAACTACTCCACTGCAGTCTGTACTCCTTTAAAAAAAAAATAAGTATTGATACACTACCTACAGAAAAACCTACTCCAACGTAACTGTCGCTTCCAAGAGAACAATTTGGAAATCTGCAAAAGCCCCCTACCAGCATCTGCATTAATGTAATACTACACAAAAAATCAATCTTTTAACAATCACATTTCGGAAACGCGACTTTACACGCACAAAGCTACACTTCGAATCTCCAGCTAAAAAACCTTTGCGAAAAGGGAGATATCCCCGGAAACTGATTCGCTACATTACGCAAAATTAAACTTAGTAATAACAGATAAATGTAAAATACTTATTTTATTCGCCTATTAGACAAAACATATACATTACAGAGACCAAAAAAGAGTTTATTAAGCCTTTATTTAACTTTACAATAAAAAAGACAGGAAAAACCAAATTACAAATAAACCTTGTAAGAGAACGACAACGGCGAAAACGACGTCGATGCCAATTTAAAAACTGGGTTGGCTCGTGCAATAAATATGAACAATAATTGAAGATACAAAACATAAAGCAATGTACAATCAAAAGAAGAATTCCATTTGAGGCACAAGAATACCCGACTTAAGAAAAAATTTGAAGATCACATTATCTATCACAATGAACTAACAGCCTGATAAATGAACGATATGCAGATGCCTTGCTTAAGAAGTATGTTCTAAGTTCACTAAAAAGGAAATTAAACATAACGATAAAGAAAAACAATGGCATAGCAAAAATTTTTTCATAAACTGCAAAACGTACCTAATTTGAAAGATTCAAATTAGTGACGGCTTAAAACAAGTCAAAAAGTACCAGCCCTTTAAAATTAAGCTCGTCTAAATTAAAAAAAAGCAACGTTTCCTAAGTAATATAGTAAAATGAAGCTGAAACGAAGTCTCATTTGATAAAACGCGTCCGGTTTCTGACTTCAAAAAATAGCATAGTGCAAAGGAAAGAAAGAAAATAGAGCAACAAAAGTCAGAAATTTGGCAAGGTAAGTCTGGGGAAGAGACCATGTGAAAAAAAACTAAAAATTATCAACTTCTATAAATGTACAACCAAAAAATAGCAATAAGGAAGCTCAGTAACAACCTTGCGTGCAATATATTTTAATATGTTTTCCACTAGTCTAAAATAGATAGCTTAAAAAGTCAAACTTTTCCAAAAATAAAATATAGGTTGCTTCAAGGTAATAAAACAAAAATAAAAAATGACTGAAGGGAATGATCGCTGTTATTACGTCGCCAGAGCCTCAGACCTAAGCCATCCTTAGTCTCAATCATCAGTCGAAAGAAACAGTAGAAAACCGCTCACGCAAATCGGTTCCTGAAGGCGAATTATCATTCAAAGTTGTAACCTTATCTTTTTCGGGATGGACCCCTTTCATCTGGTCAATTTCGGTATCCGAACTTAAGCTCTCGGAACCAATCAGCAAAGAGTAAGATGAGCTCGGATCTTTTACTGAAACTATAAAGTTAAGGAGATCCATACTACTAGTTTAACAATTCAATTTGGCCACCAAGAATTAAAATATCAATATTTTAACAAAAAGTTCAAAAAAAAAAATATCAAAATTGTTATTAAAAAAAAATACGCCAATGTGAAACTAACTTTTTCCATTGCCATTAGCTGCACCAGTGTTTACTTTCTCATCGTTCCTGCGAAACCTCCTTCGTTTTCTTCTCTTGGAAACTACACCTGCAAAAACTATGACTGGCAGAGAAAAACAATTAAGACAAGAAGAAACTCCAAATGAACCGTACGTCTTCCGTCATTCCAAGTCTTAAATCCATTATTTCGAGCGCAGGTGAAGTAACATGCGAATCGAAATACAATCACCGAAACTAAAAGCGAAACGATCCCAAAGTACAGCAACGACCACGCTAAAAAAATCATAAAGTATAAAGCTGAGTCAGACAAGCTGCTAATTTTCACTGGAAGAAATTGCTAAACCTGGAGGGCATTTTATTTTCCGTAAATAAAAAACCAATATGCGAACATTTCCATAACAAAGTAATTTCAAAGAGAACTCACAGCAATCATACGTTCCGCTATATATGTAGTAATGGAAGAGATTGGGCATCCAGTATCTATCGCAGACACATTGTTTTGAAAAATTACTGCACAAACCATGATCAGAGCAATCAAGCGAACAAACTGAAAATTTGAGCTCACTAAAACGTCAGGGAGAAATAATGATGAGCAAAAAATTGAAAGTAAGAAATAAAAAACAATGGTAACAACAATAACAACAGTAATAATAGCAATAATAATAGTAGTAATAGTAATAGCAATAGTAATAGCAACAGCAATAGTAATAGTAATAGTAAGAGTAATAATAAGACGCGTAAAATCAAAATTAACTCACAGAGGGTATCGATCAACTCGATATTGAAATCTTGTATCATTTTAGATTCGTCACGCAGGATGTTGACGAGTTCACGAGCGTTGACTACCTTGAACTGCTTGTCGTCCGAAAAAGCTTTTTTTACTTTAGTACCTAGATAACGTTATCAATAACAAAACAAAAAACCATGTAAATCTGTGATGCGAAATAAAAACCTGCTGATTTTTGGTGCCAAAGTCTAGGTCCCTTAAAAAAAATGCAAGAATTTCAACGTGAGAAAAACAAAGAAAAAACTTTTAATTCTGACACTGAAATAATGCTCGACAGTTTCTCATTTGAACTCACAAATGATACCTAAAAGATATTTATACACGTACCTGTTACTTCGACCGGTTCGTAGTTTGCATGGAATACAACACGAAGTTTACCTTTCCTAGGCTCTTGAGCAAAATAGGAAAAAACTACATGCACTTCTTCGGCTTCAGCAACCTAATTTTTGAGATTGTTAATATGTAAAAATTAAGACCCGACAATTAATAGTGAAAGTAAAATGCAGTTCAGAAACCAAACTTCACCTGAGAGACTACAGCAGCACTTATGCGCGCCCTTAATTTATCACGTAACCTATACGTGATATTGGCTTTGTTTTCATCCATGAACATTTCGATAGAATTTAAAAACTCTTCTCCGGGAACGACTGTTAATTTTACAGTTGTTGTATTCTCTGCCTGAGAATGGTCACGCACTGTCAAGTCAAACAAAAATTCACCCGGAATAAGACCAGAGAGTAAAAGCTCAGCACTATTACGCGAATTTCCCAGCATGCTCTAAAAATCCCTTATATTTAGCAGTTTTG